ACCTCCATGGTACCGAGTAGAATAGAAAATAAGTGAAAATAATGTCAAAAAAGGTAGAACAATTACTTTTAAAATGATCAGAAATAAAAAAAAGTAAAAAAAATTAAGATATTTTGAAAAGAAGAAAAATAATAAAAAAAAAAAACAATTGGGCGGAGCTAGCAGTGACAGCTACCTCTGCCCAACTGTTTCCTAGTGAATAACCCCTTTAGTAATTTTGAGAGTTCTGATTTGTCTTTTATAAAATAAATGTCTTTTTTCTACGTTGCTGGAGATTTAAGTGCCTGCCATATTTTGAAATTAGAAGAGACCTCCTGTTTGATCTCAGAGGTGCAGAAGTGCATAAGTTGTGGGATGATTGATTAAATAGTTGTGTAATGTGGGATAGCTAATTTCTTAGTCAGCACTTTGGTCATTAAAGTGTAAACCCAGAAACAAAAAGTTTTTAATATATTGCAACATAGTTTTATTTTTTAAGGGTTTTCCTTTATTTTCACCTGGTGATCTGGCCAGTAATCCTGTTATTTTTCAACTTCCTTTAACAGGCCAAGCTGTCCAGCAAAAGTGGATGTTGGCTGGTTCAGACAAATCATTTATCACTGAAACCTGGTCTTAAAATGGTCAGAATGTATTAATTTTTGTAAAACCTTTATTCCAAATGAAAAAAAAAAAAACTGTTGGTGTAACTGGTTACAAAGTCTTAGCAGGAGTTCTGCTTTAGGGGGACAATGTTGCTGTCCAAGGGTTTCTCTATTGCTCCTCTATAGGGTTGAGCCACCCTAAGATAATTGTGTTACTGGCTGGATCACCAGGTGAAGATGAAGCAAAAAAGCCAAACACAAGAAAACTGATACAGCATTTACATTTATTGATGAGTAAGCTGGAATATATGATATTTTCTTTTTGGGTTTAGAAATTATAAATATGCTCTAAGAGTCCATTTGAGAATCAGGTGTGCTTTTAATGGCACCAGGCTTTCAACTAATACATTTTAGCTGTGTTATATTTCCATACTCTTTGTTTCAGTAGGAAATGATGTCTACTATAGAATTTAGTAGGTGGGTTTATATACGTGGGTTTATATATCCTCAACAGTTTTTTTTTCTTTCACTGTACATGTTGCGTAGCAACCGGAAATTATCAGCTCCGTCATCACCATGGCTCTTCAAGGGGATTCCCTTTTCCCCCACGCTGATGGCCAGATCATGGCACACCGCCATCCAGAAAAAAGGAAGTCCCTGACAGGTATGTTAATACATGACTATTTTCATGTTTGCTTTGTCTATAGATTTAAGTATCTCTGCTCTGCCAGTTAAGAGCAAACGTACCTATCCAGCCATGTGGATGAAGACCTCTCTCGACACTTTCTTCAAAATCCTAGTGACTAATGGGTCACACCTTTCACTCCAAGGTATAGTGGGTTCCATGATCCACAGTTGTTCCTGGAGCACTGGGACACCGGTAACGACTCAACTTTGTCTTTTTTTGGTCTATTATGACCGCATTGTCATGTTATCACCTCTGACGATATGGGAACCGCCTTAAAAAGGACTTATGCCACTAAGGACTCGAATACCACTCATGCTCAAGATCAAAATGTCTCAGCCATGATCCAAGTTGGCGGCCTTGTAGATGTTTGGCGATTTATTCACCCATTGGCTCGTGAATTCACCCACTTCTCCCATGCCCATGACTCTCTCTCACGCCTGGACTTGTTTCTCATCTCACCTAACCTGGTATCAAAGGTGTCATCTATGACTATAGAGGATATGGTCATCTCAGATCACTCTCCGGTAATGGTTGACATTCAACATTTGGGCCTACCCTCCAGACCAGTGGTGTGGCAATTCCTGTCTTATCTAGCTGTTGATGATATATTTCAGGCACATCTAGCCTCGTGGTGGAGTGATTATGCTTCTGATAATGCTATGCACATTGAAGATCCTATTCTGTTTTGGGAGGCGGCAAAGGCTGTCCTGAGATTCTGGCTTATGTCTCCTCCCAAAAGAGACGGACCAGACAGAGGTATGTAGAGGTGTGCAAGGCGGCCAGAACAGCATACTTGGTGTATCGATAGGACCCTTCCCCTCACAACAGATTCAAATGGACTCAAGCTAAGCAAACATGTGACCATTGGATTTCCCAATATGATCTCCAAATTCGTTCCCACAAAGAGGTAGAATATTTTAAATTTGGATACAAATCCGGAAAATTATTAGCAAATTTAATCAGGGGACAAAACACTCCAACCCATGTACTAACTCTCGTAAATGACAGGGGAGCGACCTCCGCGGACCCCAATATGGTTTGTGACACATTTCGTACCTTTTATCAATCCTTGTATGCAGCGGACACCAGAAACCTCACCGCGGGGTCCTCTTTTCTGGATTCCATCTTCTTGCCTTCCTTGTCCGCTGCAGACTTGGATCAAATGAATGCTGCAATAACACTTCAGGAAGTGCAGGCAGCTATTCAAAACTCCCATGATTCGAAAGCTCCTGGTCCTGATGGCTTATCAGCCGAATTCTTTAAGTCCATAAACAAACACATTTCCCCTACCCTGGTATCCCTCTTTAATCATATTCTACACCAGGGTTGCTACCCACCCACGTTTAGTACTGCCTACATCAGATTACTGCCTAAGAAGGGGGAGGGTCCCACTCTCCCTAACTCATATCCAGTGGCGTAACAATCACCATAGCGACTCAGGCGGTCGCTATTGGGCCCGGATGCCGTGCGGGCCGCCTGGGTCGCTATGGGATCCTCTGCTTGTGGCTTGCACTGGTGTCTGAAGAGTCAATGAGAGCCAGCAACGGCGGTGGAGCAGGCTGGACCCGGTGTTCTGTCAACCTCATCAACCTCGCGAACCTCTGACCGGCAGTGGAGGAGGCGGGGCCCGGTGACAAAGAAGGAGGCGGGCCTCGTGACGAAGAAGGAGGTGGGCACGGCGACGGAGGAGGTATGGAGTGCGACCAACCCAGAGAGTCTATGGTAGGCTCTGCAGGGTCACCCTCAGGTGGGATCTCGAGTGGGCTCTGCAAGGGGTATAACTAGAAATCTCGGGGGAAAATTTTGCAATGGGGCCCTCTGATTTCTAGTTACACCCCTGCTCATAACGTCCTATCTCTCTCCTTAATTTTGATGCCAAACTGCTTTCCAAAATCAATAGATTGGCACCCGTGCTGCCTCATCTTGTCTCACCAGACCATGCGGGATTTGTGTCTGGTCGATACGCTGTATTGAATGTCAGGAAAAAAATTACTGCTTTGGAGGGAATACGGTTGTCGGGGTCCTCTCCCGGTCCAATTACCCTTTTGGCCTTGGACACGGAAAAGGCCTTCGACAACGTAGTCTTGGCTCTCATTGGTTTTGAAAAGATATGGTTTCTCAGCGATGTTTCTGAACTACATTTCTACTATGCATAGCTCTCATTCTGCACAGATATATACCTCATTGACCCTTTCCCCTTCCGTGTGTTTATATAAGGGAACCCGTCAAGGCTGTCCTCTCTCCCCACTCCTATTCAATTTGGCTATAGAACCCCTGTCCCAATCCTTAACATCCACCCGAATCTTTAATGGTTACCAATCCGGTCCCTATGATACCAAACTGGCCCTATTTGCAGACGATATCCTACTTCTCCTATCTGATCCATTAACCCAAATCCCGAAAATCCTTGATCACATCACCCATTATGGCTCCTTTTCTGGCCTCAGAATCAATGTCACCAAAAGCGAACTCCTACCTTTAACTCAGGACAAGACATTTATAGCAACCCTTTCCCGCACACACCCCTCTTTGTTAATACAAAAACATTCCATCACCTACCTGGGGATCTCCATTCCTCACTCTGCTGGAGATTGGTATGCCTTAAACTACAAACCAATCATAAATAAAATGGTCCAAGAATTGCGCTGTAACGGCAACCGCCGGCTTCATTCGGCCATTGATCGCGGTGCCGCTTCGGCTCCACCTCCTTCAGGGACACCCGCTCTGCGTTCCACTGTGGAACGCGGACGCCGCTCGGCTTCCGGACTGTGAGGGCACAGACTGCGTTCCACGCACCACCCACTTCCTGCACATATTTAAGACTGCAGACGAGATAGCATGGCGTTCCACTATTGGGGTCAGAATGCCTGCTGTCTCCTGGGCCCCAAGCCACCTCTGCATTTCCCTGCTGCCAAACAGGAACCAGACCACTACTCCTTCAACTCTGGAACAACCTCTGCTCCCACTAGCCTGAAACCACAAGTACCCTGGTGCTAGGAGCTCTTTTTGTACCTATTACATACAATCAGTATATGTGTGCTTACCCCTATTATTGACTGATCTACATACTCTAGGGAGACTGTGTTCCAGTACAACATATAGCTCATTGTTGCCTAAGTTACCCTACTTACTGCTTCCATATTGACTATGCTTGACTATGCTCCCATTGACTCCTGCCTGAGAAGCCGTCTCCTTTTACACGCATAATCGTGGTGTATCCTCCGCAGTTGTGATCCAAGTCTTCAGAACCATAGCAGACCAGACAGAATAGTGGAACCCCAGAATGGATCCAGTGGAGCTCGCTAAACACCTTATTACCCTCTCCCAGAGGGTTGAGACCCTAACCAACTCCATGCAGGAGCTCCAAGTTGAGAACCAGACGCTTTGTAACCTTGTTACCCAAAATGAAAATGCTGTCGCTCCCCGAGAGGGACCAGAGCCCAAGGTCTGCCCCCCTGAACCTTTTTCAGGAGATAGGAGGACTTATCGTCAGTTAGTTAATTAATGTAAATTGATGTTCAACCTACGGCCACGTACATACCACTCGGACCGGATAAAGGTACTTACCCTAATCTCGTATCTCAAGGGGGAACCTAGAGCCTGGGCAGAGACATACCTCCGCAGTTGTGATCCAAGTTTTCAGAACCATAGCACACCTGACATGCGCACCTGGAAGGATTATCCTATTTCCCTCCTGGGTAGATGCCATCCTATAAAAATGATTAGCATCACAAGGTTACTTTACCCTCTTCAGACTATACCCCTTCTTCTGAAACACAAAAATATTCAAATCCTCCATAGCGCCTTCTCAACTTTTCTTTGGAGAGAAAAAAAGCAAGAATAGCCTTCAAAAAACTCCAACAGCCGGTAAGGAATATAGGTACTAATCTCCCGAACATTAGTGTATACAATCTAGCCAACCTATTCCATCATATACGGGATTGGATACATGATACTACCTTTTTCACCAATACCCCTCTAGAGAGCCATTTCATGAAACCATGGTCACTCCCTGGTATCCTGAACACCCCACTGAAGCTCCTTCCCAAGCATATTAGAGATAATATCCGATTAGCATGGAGAGAAATCAGCAAAGTCTTCCATCTGCCCACTGTAATCTCCCCATTGATGCCCCCTCAGATCCTCCCCGGTTTTCGAACCGGGTACTGACTCTAGCGCTTTCCAAACATGGGCGACCAAGGTTATCTCGGTTCTTAAAGATCTCTTTAATTCCCAAGGACATCTCAAGACCTTCCAAGACCTCCAAACTCAAACCCCTTCTCCCCGCCACCCATATTTTCCCGTACATGCAACTACGCCACTTCATCTCCCGTCACCGTACTCCACCCTGGCAGAAATAGTCCACTCAGATATCAAACCTTTACTCTCCTCCCCCGAGGTAAAGATGCCCCTCTCTCTTATCACCTGGACTATAACAAGCTTTATACTGGAATCCTCTAACTCTATACCATCCCATATTCAACGCTGGGCAGAATTTCTGAACATGACCATAGAAGACACGCATACGATAGTGGTGCAGGAATGGCGACAAATTCGGAAAGCCATAATTAATGAATCCTCGCAAAAGATATATTTTAAAGTCATACATAGAACATACCACGCATTTAATATTCCTACAAAGAGTACACCCTCCATATGGTTAACCGCTAGGTAGGTAGTGTAATGAGCAGCGATGGAAAGAAGTGTATTGTATATAGAATTTTCAGCAGTAGTAGCATGTTAAATGCTGATATTCTCTCTATTATGGATTTGCCAAGATTAGCAAGTGTGCCCACCTAAAATCCCAACTTCTATAATAAAATTAGAGGAAACACTGGTCAGGATGATTTGCTTGTGAAGGTTGTGCCGTTCTGAGCAGGTTCTCGCAGTGAAGATTGTGTGAATTGAGAGGAATTATTTCTCCCGGTGGGCAGCAGTCAGGGGTATAGGA